GAGAGAGGATTATATGTTGCCAATACACATCCAGATAGAAGTAAAAGGAGTATTCTTCTTCTTCTTCTGCGTTCATCCGAAGATGTAATTGCATTGTGTCTGTTTACAGCATGGCTGCGATATTTGCACCTTTCGGCCAACACATCCGACTTCTGCGGGCATTTGTTGACCGGGTTAGCCTTCTCGGTAAAAGGAGTGTTCAACAAGCAGGAATAAAACAATGTGAAGTGTAAAACAACCACCCTTAGTCTACTTGATGATGATTACCCACAGGATATTCGGGTTTCTGTCTACATGGATGGATCAGCATAAAATGTAAGCAGAAATGGAGGAACAGGAGTGTATACTGAGCATCCAGATAATACCAGATATACAGCCAAAATATCGACAGGAAATCAGTGACACAGCTAAGATGCAGAAGTTCAAGCCATCAAGAGAGCTGCTGAGAAACTGCTAAATATTTGTCATATTTCACAACCCGTGGTATTCCTGACAGATGGGTATTCCTGACAGATGGGTATTCCTGACAGATGGGTATTCCTGACAGATGGGTATTCCTGACAGATGCAACAGTGGCACTTCAGGCAGTCGAATCTGGAAAATTACTTGGTATACAAAAACTACTCTTCAAACAACAGGCATAAGATAACTATGCAATGGATACCATCCCAGTGTGGAGTTCTTGGAAATGAAAGAGCTGTTAAACTAGGTAAGGAAGGTGCAAATAAAGAACAAACTGACGTACCAGTCTCTTATCAACAGAAGAAGAGAATAATCAAATTAATTAGAAAGCCACCAAAACCGGCAAAAGACGATTACCATATAATCAACAGACCAGAGCAAGTCATTGTTCTACGCGTTAGCCCATGACACAATACACTTTGCAGCCACATGTACGCAAAATTTAAGATTGACGAATCAGCCATGTGTACATGTGAAGAACCATCTAAGACAACAGATCACATCCTCCAAGACTGTCTGAAATACAACATATCAAGGCAAAAACTTCTGGCCAAGAGAAACACCGGTGTTTGTGAAGCTTTAATGGTCACTGAGTGAATTACAACAGACAGTGAAGTTTATACTAGAGACATAATTGGGCTATCCTCCGAATAACGGGCACATACTGGCAGCCCAAAACAGGGCCTCATTTACATGTAAATTGCGAACTTCCACTTAATGTGCGGACTTCCAGCGACTACCGCCGAGAGTATCCCTCACGCGGCGTGGATTGGGGCTAAACTAGATGGCTGGGCCTCACGAGCAAAGCTGCAGGAGATGCGGAAGCTGCTGCTCATGAGTCCCAGCCATCTAGTTTAGCCCCAATCCACGCGGCGTGGGGGATACTCTCGGCGGTGGCGGTAGTCGCCGGAAGTGCACAATGGACATGTGACTGAGGCCCTGTTAGGGTGTTTTTGCGGCCGCCATAATATGTGCCCGTTATTCGGAGGATAGCCCATAACTGCATAAATAGATAATTTATTTCAAGCAAACGAAAGAAGAAGCTTCCAGTAAAAATCCTCGTGTGAGTTCCGGGGCCCTATTTTTGGTGGAATAAAAGGAACACAACAACCCTAACAAGCATGTCGTAAAAGCAGACTAACTAGGGGTGTACCTTCAAGGAACCAACAGTCTGCTCGCAAAAATAAGTCACATCAGTAAAATGGACATGCATGCAAAACTGAAGTTCCAGAACAAGACCAAAGTTCAGAAGTGGATGAACAACCAGAACCTTTCTACCAGAGTCTGCAGCGGGTGAATTAGAAGAAAATAAAGTTTAAAAAAAAAAAAAAAAATCACTGAGCAAATACATAGGTAAATAAAATGACCAAATAAGAAATAATGATACAATGTAATCAAACTTATTTAGTTCAATGAACACAAAACTTGAGAAATTTGTTTAATTTACAAATCTGTACAGATTTCACAAGGAATATCTTTTGCATTGCATGGCATCTCCGAGCCTTCTTTGCTCCAAAAATGTACACTATATACACAATGATAGGTTAGGCAAAAAATTATGGATTATTCTGACACACATAAAGCAACAGCAAAAGCCAGTTAATGAATGAGCATGTACGGAAACAATGAGGTATTCTGTGTTAAACAGGTTCATGATAATTATTACACAGTCATAGCATTTGACAATCACTTAGTCAAATATCTTTAACTAATAAAATATGTCCACAGCAAGTTGCCAGGAAAGATGATATTTTATATTTTAAGGTACTATACGGCCAGGGTACTTTTCACTAACGCAAAAGGTGAAGGTATTTATCACTAAGTCTATTTCAGTAGCACTATATACCGAGTCCGACTCGTAATCCAACGTACCGCGATCGAAACCTGCGTGGATTTTTATCGTGGTATGGGACGTCGCAGGTCGACCCAGCCTCAAATGGGTACCAGGGTGGGCTGTCCTGGGAAAGTAAAGACGGCCGGCGTAATGCTGACCACATTACCCACCGAGTGCCGATTGGTCTGTAAAAATATGGGTGCTCTTCCCATATGCCCGATGCGCCTAAAGGCGTTAAAAGGGATCTTTACTTTTTTACTTTTATAAAAAAAAGTGCCAGTACTGTGTACCACCAGTAAACAAATACCTGTAACTGACACCATCACATCATTCTCACAACCAATATGGGACAATTGATATCTGTGATATTCTCACCAGAAATGGGGCCGACTAGTTAAGTTGATGACCCAAAAAAATCTGGCTAGTGGATGTCAAAATCATGGCTGCTTGCCAATTATTACACAATCATAAAAATATGCTATCTAAATGCAAATAACAAAACAAGAAAAACACTTTTCAGCATGAAGCTCTAACAAGCACAACCATAAACTTCAGATATGCTTCAATCACATGACTGTAACTAATGTTGGTTGACTGGCTGATTTTTTTGGTTTCCCTGTGTGGGGTCTGGGGCCCTGTTATAGGAAAAACAAGAATAGACCCACTGCCTACCCAAAAGCATGTCATAAGAGTCAACTAATTGTGAGCTTCCTTCAAAGTTGGAGAGCATCTGCCGGAGAGGCAAGGAACTAGCAGTCTGCATACAAATGAATCAGATCTGTAAAATGGATGCACATGCAACACTCAGGTTCTGGAACAGGACTGCAGTCCACAAGAGGACAAACAACCAGAACTGTCCGCCAGAGTTTACAGCTGGTGAACGCAAAAAAGAAGACAAAGAAGATTTGAAAAAAAAAAAATTGATCATCTAGCCAGAAAAAGACAAAACATACTTATCAAGATCTGGCCAATTCAGTGACAATGAAATTAAATATATAAAAAAGTAAAGGACCCTTTTCCTGCCTTCAGGTGTATTGGGCATATAGGGCTAGACCTGTATTTTACAGACCAATCGGCACTTGGTGGGTGATGTCAATAACAAGACAGCCGCTTATACTTCCCAGGACTCCACCTAGGACTCACTCAAGGCCGGGCTGACCTGAGAGTCTAGGTCAGTTTTTAAAAAGTCTTGACCTGAACCCACAACTTTCCAATCCACAGGCGAGAGTCTAGCAGCTGCACCACCTAATAGAATAGAAGTTTTGGAAAATTCCTCAAGCAAGCACAGAAACCAGACAGATAAAAGTTACAAATCACGAAGCTCATGGCTTCTCTTTCTTCATCCCAATCCTAGTTCACATTCAGATCTTCACCGTACTGGCTCCAATAATTCAATATCATTTATCCCCCCCCCCCCCCCCCCCCCCCACGGGATTGTTACTTCAAGGTTTCATCATCCACCAAACTAGACCAATCTCACATCCTGCAAGGCAGACCAACAGGGCTAATTGCTGATATCCCATTCAACATCTAAAACAGTTATAATTCAGGCACCCGTTGAACTAGTCTGGTGAAGCCTGCTGTCCATTGCAGATCAGGATGACCACGATAATCTACCATATTTGTTGACAATCAGGTCTCTTAAGTTGGAGTTTACTGCCTGCCCCTTGGCATCATGGGATTATTGTCACACACAGAGATCACCATCATATAGCAGGTCTTTTGCCGAATGTGGCTCTCATCACGATCTGCCTGAATGAAAAGGTCTCTTGCCAGCTCTCCCGCTTCATGTACTTTCTATTCAAGGAGCCATGACAACATATGGCAGAACGTCTTATATAACCCACTGACCTGGCCTACAGGAATGTCAATGAAAAAATTAGGAAGAATTTGGAAGCAACAAGATGTGCTTTCTGAGACGACTGTTACGAATACCTTGGACGGCCAGAGTAACTAACAATGATTGCTTGAAAGAAGCTAAAAAAAGTAGATCTCTATATACAACAATAAGAAAGAGACAAACACTGTTCTTTGGCTACATAATGAGAAGAGAGACATTGGAGAACATTGTGACAACTGAAAAGATCAGTGGAAAAAGGGGTAGAGGCAGACCAAGAGAGATGATGCTGGATGGGCTAAAACGATGGCATGGAGGGATATCTTCTAGAGAGCTGTTCCAGGCAACCAGGGATCGTGATCTGTGGAGACGCATGAGTGCCTACGCCAGTTGGCAGGGCACATGATAATCATGATGACCTTGCCTACAATAGTTTAAACGTTTTCCAAGCTGCAATATTTCACACAACTCTTCATGCTTCAATGACCCAATTATCAATAAACTAAAAGTTAATAAAATATTTATAGAACACAGGAAGCTGAGATAATTTGTCTCCCTTGTTAGGATAAGCCTCTGGTCAAGGACAAAGGTCACGACCCGGAAGTGAACATATCTGCTAGGATAAATGCTTTCAAAGTGACATATTTACTCTTTAAATAAATATTTAAAAAAAAAGGGATGCTACATTTTCACTGTTTGTTTTTAAACCAAAAGAAATTCACAAAATTATATTAAGCATTTTTGAAATGTTAAATAAATAATGATTCAGAAATAAAATCATAAGAAATGAGATCAAAACCAGGGAGGGGGGTGAATTAACAGCCATGTTTAAAACATTACAGCTGTAGGGATCATGTAATGATTCTATCAGTATTTCTCTTTTCTCACAGAAAAGCCTGGAAAAGATTTTTCGCCAACTCTTTTCTCATCTTTGAAGACACACTTCTCGATATGCGATTTTGGACTTCCTGTTTCCTGTAGCCACTTCTTCCTACAAGGAGATAAAATAAGATAAATTAAGGTCAAATTGCACCTGGTCCTATACCCGATATCTAATTCCTTGGATTAAAAATAAAAATAAAAACAGCAACAATGCAGTAGCAGACTTCAGAACATCGACAATCAAATAACACACTTTGAGTCACCAGGAACCAAACGCCAGACTGAGTTAACAAAAACTAAATTGGTCTCTTTGAACCATCAAGACCTAAAAATTAGGGGGTTTCAAATAAAAACCTTAAAAGTGTGAAAGAAATTATAATAAGCATGTCACTGTCTGTCGTGGGTTCGCTCCCTGGTTGAGCCAGACTTAAAAAAAAATGACCTTGGCTCCTATGTTGACCCAGCCTTGAATGGCTCCCGGGAAAGTAAAGGCGGCTGGCGTGATGCTGACCACATCACCCATCTTGTGCTGATTGGTCTATAAAAATATAGGTCTAGCCCTATATGCCCTATACGCCTATAGGCGTGGAAAAGGGTCCTTTACTTAAAAATTTTTTTTTTTACAATGTCACTGTCTTAAAACTTTTGAATATTTTTGGTTAAGGATGTCAGGAGTGTTAAGCATGTGACAAAATGGTGCAGACAAACACTGTGGGGTCATTATGAAAGTTAAAATATGGCCACCCCCTCTTTTTGACATGCACAAAAGAGAAGCAGGGTTCTGTTATCCATTTTATTTTTAAACAGTGAAGAGGTGAAATGTGCAGAAATTCATCAGCAAATGAAGGTCCAGCCCAGTGATGCATGTCTACCAGTCATGGAGTAGAAGCTTTCAAAACAGCATCACTTCTGTGACAGAGGGTTGAGGACCGAGCCAGGCACATACACGCTCAACACTCTTAACATCCTTAACAATAAAATTGACTGATCACAAGATAATGACATAGTTACTGTAATTTCTATCACAATTTTAAGATTTTTCATTTGTTACCCCCTTATAAAGAATCCTTAAAAAAAATCAATCGCTTCTTCATTAAAAAAAAAATCATTTGCTTCAGGATTGCTGTCTGAAAGAAACCGACTAAGGAAAAAAAAAGGTGAATCCAACAGATGCCCAACCCAAAAGCCCTGCTCAACCGTACAAAACAGTTCTACTGGAGCACGCTAAAGTTACGAAGTAACCGGCCGTTCTCAGAGTAGATTATTAGATTATTATTATGGCTTCTTCGAGTAAATATTTTTATAAAATGAAAACTTCCTCTGCTGCAATTTAACAATTATAAGAATACAAATTCATTTATAAATAAATAAAAACCACATAATACAGTTATGACTAGAAACAGTGGATTATGTTTCCCAATTGTGTGCCACTCGAACACTTCACAGCTGTGGTATCTTCAAAGATGAGAGAAGAACTATACAGTAGCTGGTTTCTGATATAAACTAAACAAGAGTCTCACACTAGACTTTACGAAACTTCAAAGCCAGAATACAATTAAATTCCTCAACTATTTTCTTATCTCAAAGCTGTGGTACTCTGGCTGACTCAAAGTCTGCTCATTTGAGAAAACACATTTGTCTATTCTGCTCTCTGGACTTCCAGTTTGTTCCAGCCATTTTTTCCTGCAGATGTTCAAGTTGGAGACAAAAAGCAGCATTAAATATTCTGTACACCCCTTCTACAACGAGCATGCTATATTTACAATTCCTACAACTTTTCCATCCGTCATGGTGTCTGTCTATAAATTTACTGCTTCTCGTTTTTTAACCTGGCTAGAATGAAAAAGCCCAACTGGTCTTGAAAAGACACAACAATAAATCACTTGTAAAGCTTGACATTTGTTTTGTTGTGTTTAAAGCTAGTAGACGTTCTGGAAGATGTTCAACACTAAGGGGAAACACAGGCAGACTTTTTAGTAGTTTTCTATGGGTAATATTGGGAGTCGCCGTGTCGCTCGCGTGCGGATCGGAAGGTCTTGGGTTTGCTTTTCAAAAATGACCTTGACTACCAGGTAGACCCAGCCTTCAGTGGGTACCGGGTGCAGGCCTGGGAAGTAAAGGTGGCCGGCGTGATGCTGATCACATCACCCATCTTGTGCCGATTGGTCTATTAAAAATATAGGTCTAGCCCAATATGTCTAAAGGCGTGGAAAAGGAAACTTAAATTTTTGTTTTTTTTGTTATTGGTAATTTTAGCAAGCCAACTCTTCATTAGCTACTGAAGAAGGGGACGGAGCATGTGTGGAAATGTCAAGAGTGCAGTGATGTCAGTTCTTTATTCATTCATTTACCACTTGGCAGTGTAGGGCAGATAGGTGGTGAGCCTGAGGTTTTAAGGCCGCATGACTAGTTCAGTTGCCACAAACTGTGCAGGTTAGGATTTGTATTTTGCCCGACAGAAACAAACCTCCATCCCTCATACAAGAACAAACCTGGGTCTCCGCATAGGGGTCCAGAGTTCTAACCATTCGGCCATCCCCTTCTCTGACTAATTAGTGACCTGCTTCATTCAAAGTGGGAGTGCATCTTCCTGACAGGCAAGGAACCAACAGTCTGGTTACAAATAAGCCAGATCTGTAAAATGGATTTGCACACAAAACTCAGGTTCTGGAACAAGATGAAAGTCCAGAAATGGACAAACAACCAGAACTTTCTGCCAGAGTTTATGGTTAGTAAATGTGAAGAAGGGATTAGCTGAAACTGGATGTGTTGGGCCAACAGCTACAGGTACTGCAGTCTAGCTGTTAACTTTAAAATGATGACATGGCGACCAACTTTTCAGGGTGAACACAGAAGAAGAAGGAGGAGGAGAAGAGGAAGAAGAATAAAGAATCCAATCCAATTATTAAACCAATTATTAAAAAAAATATTAATTAATAACCCTACATAAAATCTTACATGATGGCCACCTTGTCCTCAGGACCCTCGATGACCCCGACAACGGTGCCGGAACTTGTGTTCTTCACCCAGCCAGACAGGCCCAACTTCTTGGCCTGGCTCTCTGTGTGCTTGGAAACAAATACAACAGAACACACAAGCTTATAGCATAAAAATAAAAACTTCTACACATTTCAGAAGGTTAAAGCGTAGGGGAAAAAAAAATACATACATCAGAACTGTTGGCAAATGAGGTGTTTCCAGTTTAGCGACACCAAAACAATATTCTGCTTTTTATTTTCCCAATGAAGCATAGGCTCTCAACCAAGCCAACTCCTCCTATCGTTTAACATGACTTTCCGATAGTACTTATCTCTGTGTCTAATTTTTATCTCCCTGTGTCATTTTATTATCCTATTGTTTTTGTTTTTGTTGTTGTATAAAAGAGTACTAGAAGATAAAGAAGCCACACTGGCATTATAGTTAGTGTACAGGTTTGCCCTTCTCCCTCCTCCCAAGAAGCCATGAAATCAACATTTCTGGTTTGGCTCAATTCCGCACAAATGTCACTTTCTGGACTTGTCTATCGCTACCTGATTACAAAATGCACAGTTGATGCTTTTGGCTTTTTGCGCAGATAGTTAGGGGATGAGGATATGAATAGGCAGACATTCGGCCCTTCCAAGCAGTTATCTCTCAGACCCCAACTTCATGTTATCAGTAATACATGTTATGTCTATACACAAATTTATATAATGAAAATATGCATACATACATCATATATTCACAATCACACACAATGGAAAACAAATAGCTTTTTAAGAACCAAACTGAGGTCATATTTTCCCTTAAGCCTCAGTGATGGGGTCATGACAAGAGTCACCTGATACATGTGTTTCTGTTTTTTAGGTGCCAGGAAAAGTATTTCATTTAATGCTTCACCCTGTTCATGTTAACTGAAGACTTCCATCATATATTTTGGTGATTTTTCAGTGAATAGACTGACAGAATACACTGGGAGTACCAATTGGAGACAGGAAAACCATGTGGGAGCCATCCGTCGTTACATCGACCAGAACAGAATGGAAGCTGTTAGCCTAAAAACACTTGGAGACAGGAGGAGATCGGAGCACTCATGGTCATGTCTAATGTGCGATGACGATGATCTTTAATGAACAATATTGGGGGGGGGGGGGGGGGTGATTTTCGTACTGTTCCTGTGATGAGAGGGTTAAACAAATAGGTATCAGAAATTTCCAGAATTTTCTGAGAATTGTCTGGGAAAGAAAGGCACTGAGGAAAATGAACTATGTAATTTCTTCTTCTTCTTATAGCCCATGGCGTTGGTAGTCATGTCTATCCACAGCCTTCTGTCTCATGTACTTTTAATCAGTTCTGACACAGATGATCTTTGAGGACATGATATCAAACTGTCCAGCATCTTCTCTCTCGATCTCCCTCTTTTCCTCTCCAACTTTCCCACCGTCATGAAGTACTCCTATTTTATTCTTCTCATGACATAATCAAAGAAGGAAGATTGCCTCCTTCTGATGTTGGCAATCACTTCTCTTCATGGCTTAGTTTTTTTTTTTTTTGAAGACGTCATTACTATTTATATCTGTTCCGGGTAATTTCACCATTTATCTACAAAACCACATCTAAAATAATTTTTCACTGATTGTCCAGCTATGGAAACACGGATATCTTTTAATCCGAACATATTTAAATGTGATGATACTCCCAAAACAGAATCGGTGAATTATAATTTGGCCATTCATTGTTATATCTGCTCACTACCATTGTTGCAAATACAAAAACCTAATTGTATTAATGAACCTAGTTCTGAGAGAGATCCATACTTGTTCTTCTTCTTAGCGTTCACCGGCTGTAAACTCCGGGGAAAAGTTCTGGTTGTTTGTCCATTTCTGGACTTTAGCTTTGTTCCAGAACTTGAGTTTTGCGAGCACATCAATTTTAGAGATCTGACCTTTTTTTTAAAAATATGCAGACTGTTGGTTCCCTGCCTTTTAGGTAGATGCACTCAGACTTCGAAGAAAACATCTCCAATTAGTAGCCTTTTATGACATACTTGTTAGGGTGGAGCAGCTCTATCCGGACCCCCCCCCCTCCCAAATGGGGCACAGGGAAACCCATACGAAGAGGATATCTACTACACTGTCATCATTATCACCACATGCCTTGCCCCATATGGTGTCAACATACACATCAAATCTCAGTCCTTGGTGTTTTGGATCATTCATAACAACAGTATTACTTCAATGACTGATCAGCTATGATAAACAAAACCTCAGGGTTCTATTTTGAAGGGGTGAAAAAACATCCCCCCCCCCCCCCCCCCCCAAGCATGTAGTAAAAGTCAATTTATTAGGGAGGTATCCTTCAAAGTCGGAGTACATCTGCCTGAGAGGCAAGGAACTAACTGCCTGCATACAAATTAAGTCAGATCTGTAAAACTGGCGTACATGCAGAACTCAAGTTCTGGAACAAGACCAAAGCCCAGAAGTGGATGAACAACCAGAACTTTTCTGCCAAAAGTTTACAGCTGGTGAATGCGAACAAAAAGAGAATGCACAATCAGCAACTCACCTTTCTAAAGAAAACACCTACAAAACAAAAACAATAAACAGAGTATTAGTTTCTTTAGGAAACAAGCAAGATAAAAAATTATACCGGACAAAGCTAACAAAACTACATTATTCAAGTGGACACTGGGTTTGAACAAAAAAACACTGACCTACTTGTATATGGGAACCGCTGTTGTGTAGCAGATAGATGCCTGCCTGCCCCGAAGATTGTGGATTCAAAAATGATCTTCGCTCTCAGGTTGACCCAGTCATAAATGGGTACCAAGTTCTGGGAAGTAAAGGCGGCTGACGTGATGGTGAACACACACCCCCCCCGAATTCTTATTGGTCTCAAAGATGTAGGTCTATCATTATATGCTCAACACGCCTGAAGGCAGGGGAAATGAATTCCTTTACTTTCATCATCATCATGTGCCGTGCCAACTGGTGTAGGCACTCATGCGTCACCACAGATCACGATCCCTGGTTGCCTGGAACAGCTCTCTTGATGATATCCCTCCATGCCATCATTTCAGCCCATCCAGAATCATCTCTCTTGGTCTGCCTCTTTCCCTTTTTCCACTGATCTTTCCAGTTGTCACGATGTTCTTTAGTGTCTCTCTTCTCATTTTGTGGCTAAATAACAGTGTTTGTCTCTTTCTTATCTTAACTTTACACTTGCATATTTACTTTTTCAGCCCAAGGGAGTTTTGCATCAGAGGCCCAAGGTGTAGTAAAGAGGGATGCATAATTGGTGCATCTTGCATTCACTGGGCTTCTTGGTAGGACATGTGAACGCATGACATTTTCTTTAGGAGTTTGGACTTAGTTTGTCCTCTTGACCTTGGGTTGTAACTGACTGGCAGAAATGTGGAGCCAGGCATGCTCTGTGCAGAGTGGCAAGCATCACTTCAGAGGTCCCGGGTAGTGAGCGCCCTTTGGATATTTTCTCCAGGTCATTACGGTGTGTTATGAAATGAGACGGGGGATAGACTGGCTGGCTCAGCACCACTTGGTGGTGAACTGATGTATGACAAGTTAGATATTGTGAGGGCCCTTTGGGAGCGAGTGAACAGTGCGGAGGCATAGAGAGATCATTTCGATCTGAAGAGAATGGCACTGCAAGGAGTTACCATGGGATCTGGCAGATGCTCAACACTCAGAGGAAGGGCAAGATGGATATTAAATCAGACAGTTACTAGTGCCATTGGAACTGGAATTCTTTGCTTGCTGCTGAAGATGGAAACAGAGCACTTATGGGAGTGTCACGAGTGCTGAGATGTCGACTCTTAATTCAACATTCTTGACCTAGGGCAGAGGTCATAGCTCTCCATGTCTGGCAGTTCATTGCCACCCGTTTTAGGTCTTGGATGTTTATTGGGCCATTGGTTGAGCCTTCCCTGGTGATGGTTCGATGCCGGGTGTCTCTTAGTCTTCCTCTTTTTCTTTTCCCTTCCTTGGGACTGGAAGTGTTAGAAAAAATATAACTACTAGAGTGCATCATAACAATAGGAAAATTGGAGATGAGAAGCAGAGGAGGCAGTAGTATATTATGTTGGACAGTTTGATATCATGGCATGGAATATCAACTACATAAGAAAAGACTGGCAGTGCATGAGACAAAAGGCTATGGCCAGATATAATCGGGGCATGGATTATAAGAATCTTTTCAATGCTTAAAACAGGGTATACTGGCACTATGTATATATACAGAAAAAAGCCTCCAAAATATATGAGTTGAGTTGAGTCAAGAAATGACATCACAGCACTCTGGGCATTCCCATGCATGCTCAGTCCTCATCTTCAGCAGCCAGTACAGAATTCCAATGGTACTGATGGTACCGGCATATTATGGTTAGATGTCCGTCTTGCCTTTCCTCTGAGCGTAGTGAGCCGGCCAGACCCTCTAGTTACACCCAGGTGCCTCATTCTCTTTAGGCCATAATAATCTTCTTTCTCTACTGATTCTGTTGCTTGTTCCCAAAGGGCTTGAACACATCTGCCTTGTCATGTATCAATTCACCACCCAGTGGTGCCAATCCAGCCAATATGTCTGCCTGTTCATTACCTACTATGCCTGGCATGGCCTAGAGAAAAGATCCAAAGTATGCTCACTACCCGTGAACTTTCCAGTGAAGCTTGCCACTCTGCTCGAAGCATCCCTGTCTTCACCTTTCTCTGCATGCTTTCAGAGTCTGTTACAACTACATGTGTATGCATCTTGGGCTCTCCTTTAAATAACGGTCGCTAGCTGGAAAGCCGACGGTCGCTTAGTGGGAGTTCACTCCCTTGGCTGCATTGCAAATATGGAGTGGAAAAGTCACGAATCAAAAACAAGGTCAACATGGCAGTTAGACATCGTGCTCCGACTCAATTAGCAACCACGTTCTTGCGACGCACGACTTAGTTGCCACGGATGTGACTCCTGCAGATCTGTATGCCTTTATGACCTTAATAAGTTTGCGTGGTTACGGTGGCTAGCTGAGCATAGACTTATAAGGAACATGCAGGTATGTACCTCGTGCAACCGACCTATGTCCTTAGCGCCTCGGCAGGACTGCTGTGACAGATACTCTTGGCGTTGTCATCGTTGTCATACTCAGTGTAGCGTTCGCACCGGGTCGTTTTTCCCCAACTGCGAAATGCAGACCGAGAAAATACTCATGATGATGTACTACTGGCTCTACGGCGTAAGTTCAACGACTGTCATGGTCTTCGAGAGACTCACGTCCTGAGCCACCATTGTAAACTACACCAATTATTTCTGACAGGAATGCTATAATTGGATGTTCAGACACACCGTGGAGTTAGGAGGACTCGATGAGACTGGCAGATCTGTCATGGTTGAAGTAGACGAGAGCTACTTCTTCCGACGAAAGTATCAGCGCGGTCGCATCCGTCACGGTCGTTGGGTCGTAGGGCTAGTAGAGCGTCAGACTGGCCGTTGCTACTTTGAGGTTGTGCGAAGACGAGATGCGGCGACATTGGAGAGGATTATAACAGATCACGTCCTGCAGAGAACGACCATCGTGACTGACGCTTGGCGAGGCTACAGCAACGTAGCAAACTTAAGGCATGGCATCTATCTGCACGAGGTTGTAGTCCACCAGACCAACTTCGTCGACGTTGCGCACAGTCACATACACACCCAAACAATCGAAGGACTGTGGATGCTACTCAAACGGACAATTCGCCATCAATTGGGCACCAGCCGCGCGCTATTGCCATCATATTTAGGAGAATTCCAGTGGCGCCACTCCCACAAGCATCACATTGTCGGCCATTTTTTGGAACCCCTACGTCAACATTTTCACATCTAACCCTAACCCTACCCCAAACCCTATCCCTAACCCTACGCAACCGTATGATGACTACGCAACCGTATGATGACAGGTAAGTATGTCATTAGTTTCGTTGCCTCTTTACGCTTCGTATCTGCAATGCAGCCAATGGAGTGAACTCCCACTAAGCGACCGCCGGCTTTCCAGCTAGCGACCGTTATTTAAAGGAGAGCCGCATCTTGTTTTCTAGCCACCGGAGATCTGCAGTCCAAATATCTTTATTTAAAAAAGAAAAATCAGTCTCTGGCAGCATTCGTATAAATACATGAATGTGAATCATCGATGTGAATGATAATGGATCATAATTAAGTAAACATTGAAATCAATGTGATCAATACTTTTGCTAATAAGTTTGTGTTGTAAACTGAACCTGTCAATAATACTATTATAGATAAGTAAAAATAATTTTTTTAAAATAAATTTTCGGCTCTCCTTTCAATACCGGACGGTAGCTGGACAACTTAGTTCAGCTTAGTGGGAGTTCTCTCCCTTGGCCGCATTGCAAACAAGGAGCGGAAAAGTCACGAATCAAAGAAGACAGTGAGGTCAACATCAGGGCTGCCAATGCTTGGTTGTGTCCCCCAGATCTGGGGTTATTTTTAACGCTGCGGGGAAATCTGTTTTTTTTTTTTTTTTGGTTTTTGCCGATCTGTATGCTTTAATGACCAATAAATTTGAGTGGTTAGGGGTAGGGTTAGGGGTAGGATTAGGTTCAGCGTTAGATGTGACAATTTTGATGCAGGAGTTCCCTATAATCGCGCACAGTCAACATACACACCCAAACAGTCGACGGACTGTTGATGCTACTGACACGGACAATTCACCACCGATTGGGCACCAGCCGCGCGCTATTGCCGTCATATTTGGCAGAATTCCAGTGGCGCCACTCCCACAAGCATCAGATTGTCGGCCAGTATTTGGAACTCCTACGTCAACATTTTCACATCTAACCTTACCCCTAACCCTATCCCTAACCCAAACCCTACGCAACCCTATGATGATAGACACCCTACGCAACCCTACACGCAACCGTATGATGACTACGCAACCCTACACGCAACCGTACGCAACTCTACACGCAACCGTATGATGATAGGTAAGTATGTCATTTGATTCGTGACTTTTCCGCTCACTGTTTGCAATGCGGCCAAGAGAGAGAACTCCAACTAAGCCGTCCAGCTACCGTCCGGTACTGAAAGGAGAGCCAAATTTTCTGTCAGTTGAAAATACGTAAAATAAAATTTATCTTAAATCGTGCAACGTATACTTTGTTCTTGACTGCCATGCCTGTCAATAATTATTAATTTCTTTGTTTTGCATTTATTTCTTCTTTCTCTCTCGTCCCAAGCAAAAGACTGACACACAACTCAGTTTCTTCAAATTCAAACCAAAATTAAAAAAAAAAAAATATTTTTTTATAATTTAGTAAATTTACTGTTGTAAAATCTGATAGAAATTGCATGTAGCTTCGCGTCTATCATATGTTACAAACAGCTATGTCGTATGAAAACACTACAATGACTGCAAAAATAATACTGAAGTTATTCTATAGTGAAAGAGAACCTTGTACTCTGCCGAACACCTCGAAACTAACGGACTTCAACGCTGCAGTCGCCATGTTTGTAAACAGTTGACGGGTTCTGTAAAAGTCTACAGGATAAAATCAACAGTACAATTAAGACAAAAGGCTACTTCAAA